CTCTCTCAGCCTGGCTCCAGAGCAGAGCTGCTCCAGCCCTCGCAGCAGCTCCGGGGCCTCGTCTGGCCTCGCTCCAGCAGCTCCATGTCCCTCTTGTGCTGTTCCCCAGAGCTGGACACAATAAGAACCCAATAAACCCATCAGTGGTGCAGCAAGAAGGGATATCTGGGCAGATCCATGGATTTTTCCAGCAGATCCTGTGTGTTTAATGAAGTTTTTCCTTCACTGGACACATCGAGAGGACAGGATCTGATCTAAGCACATCTTGAGTGTGTTTGCATGTACTGGTGATGGTGGTGCCAGCCCTGGTGTTGGCCCAGGATGAGGGACAGACGTGATCTAACCCAAGTCTTCTCTTCCCTGGAACAGGTAAAACGGAGCTGGCCAAGCAGACAGCCAAGTACCTTCATAAGGATGTCAAAAAGGTAACACTCTTCCCTCTGCTGATTCATGGAATCATCAGGGAATGGTTGGAAGGGACTTTAAAGCCCATCTAGTCCCATCCTCCGTGGTGGTGGTGGTGGCTTTGTAGGGTAGCTCAGGGATGTGTGAGGTTTGAAGGCACCAGGTGTTTCAGGCTGGGCGCTCCAGTTCACATGTAAACCTCTAGGCTGAGGCTTGGGAGGTGCCCAGCTCTGTCCATGGAGGACTGGGAAAGGCTGGAGCAGGGAGAAGCCCCCTGAAGCTCCCCCCAGCATCCTCCAGCAGAGAGTGGCCACAGGATGAGATGGGAGCTGCAGAGGGAAGATCAGAACACGCTGTGGAAACACCTCTTCTCGTTTCTGTTCCTCATCCTCCCATAATGGCCTTCCTGAAGCAGAAAATCCCACTCCTGGGCTTCAGGCACCTTCATTCCCAGCTCCTGGAACCGGTCAATACCTGGACAAACAGCACGTGGACAAATCAGTTCAATGCTGAATATGTGTTAACTTCGAATCGTGGACTCATGGAATGGTTTGGGATAAAGGGACCTTAAAGCTCCTCCAGCTCCAACCCCTGCCCCGGGCAGGGACACCTTCCGCCAGAGCAGGTTGCTCCAAGACCCTGTGTACAACCTGGCCTTGACCCGTGCCGGGAATGGGCCAGCCACAGCTTCTCTGGGCACCCTGTGCCAGCGCCTCAGCACCCTCACAGGGAAGAGCTTCTGCCTCAGGGCTCATCTCAGTCTCCTTCTTCCTCTCCCTCACAACAGCCCTGGGTGTTCAGGGGGGGATGTGGCCACTCCAGCACCATCAGCCCTTGAGAACCTCAGACCCATGTGTCGGTCCAAGCAGGCACCAGCCTGGTTCTGGAGGAACCTTCTAAATGTGGTGAAACCTGGAGCACTTCATCAACCTCCACGTTAAGGGTTTCCTTCTCTTGCAGGGCTTCATCAGGCTGGACATGTCGGAGTTCCAGGAGAGGCATGAGGTCAGTGAATGGGTTCTCTCCGCTCCCAAGGTGCCACCACCTCCCCGCTGCTGCCGAACAGCTCCTGTGTCAGCCTGGCAGTGCCAGCCAGGGCCCTCCTGGGTGCCTTCCCTGTCCTGCAGGGAATGGGTGGTTTGGGGAGCGGAGGGGGCACCGCACCGCGGCAGCGGTTGCGCCAGGGTTCACATTCCCAATACGGGAAGTACTAGGAAATGAGGAACAGAGAGCAAGGAGTAAGGAAAGCTTTAACACTCTGTGGCTGTGCAGTGTGGAGCCCTGGGGAGGAGCAGCGGGAGAGGGAATGGTGCAGGGCCCCCCTTCCTGTCACACCTCCCACCCCATGCTGGTGCTGCAGCACAGGGTGATCTCAGCAGGGTCACCCCAGAGCTGGTGGGGGGACAAATCCCTTTGGATTTGGACTCCTTTCTGAGATGGGTCATAATCAGAGAGTCATGGAACGGTTTGGGCTGAAGGGACCTTAAAGCTCATCCAGTTCCATGGGCAGGGACACCTTCCACTAGAGCAGGTTGCTCCAAGCCCTCTTGGAGCATCTCCGTGGCCTCCTGTGAACTTAACTCCAAGAGCTCCAGGGCTTTCCTGTACCAGTTTTCCTGTACAAGCCCCATCAAGGCCAGGTTGGATGGGGCTTGGATGACTTTTCATCTGCCCATGGCAGCTCCTACAGGTTCTGCAGGTTAAAGCTCTGGGCCAGGTCATTGCTTCGTGGCCACCAACCTGCACTTTACCCTTATGAAGCTGATGTGGAGGTACCTGGGCAGTGACAGGGGACACAAAGAGCACAGAACGTGACGTCTCTGCAGCAGAGATTGGTGAGCTCCCAAGAGGGCGTCATTCCTGGCTCCCATGGGTCACCTTCGCGTGTCCTGTCCCTTCCTCCCAGGTTGCCAAGTTCATCGGCTCTCCCCCGGGCTACGTGGGCCACGAGGAGGGTGGGCAGCTCACCAAGAAGCTGAGGCAGTGCCCGAACGCCGTGGTGCTCTTCGACGAGGTTGACAAAGCCCACCCAGACGTCCTCACCATCATGCTCCAGCTCTTCGATGAGGTAAGTCCACGCTGCAGGGTTGTGGGGAAGGGGAGAGGGATGCAGGAGATGTGCTGGAATGCTCCAGATCAGTGGTCCCTTCCAAACGCTGTCACCCACCCAGGGAACAGGCTGCTGCTGAGGGCTCCTGGTGGAATAAATGTCTCCTTTAGGCAAAGGAAAAGCCAGTGGGAGGGTTGGAAACATGAGGATGAAGCCTGGGAATCAGGGTGACATAGAATCATGGAGTGGGTTGGGTTGAAGGCACCTTAAAGCTCCTCCAGTCCCAACCCCTGCCCCGGGCAGGGACCCCTTCCACTGGAGCAGGTTGCTCCAAGCCCCTGTGTCCAACCTGGCCCTGAAGCATGGGCTGGCTTCCAGTGAGTGAAGTCCAGCTAAGCCTGCAGGAACAACTGGGATATGGCTGTGAACTGAGTTATCCCATGGGACCACGCGTGGGACAGCCACAGCAGCCCACTGTGGTGGCCCCAACCCTCCTCCTCCTCCCTGCCAGGGGACTGTGTCCCTTGATTCACAGAGTGGAAAAGAGAGAGCAGAAGAAGGCCTCAGAAGCAAGGACCTCCCCAGGCAGTTTGTTTCCTCGCCACGTCTCCAGCAGCTGATCTCCAGCACAATGACACAAATCCTTGTTGGGTGCTTGAGATTAACATTTGGGTTATTGCCCTGTCAAGTGCGTGGTTCAGGAATTGATTTCCCATTGAGCTGCTGCTCCCGTGATCTATGCAAGGAAAAATGGAGTTATTAATCCTTCCAAGAAGCACAAAAGCCCTGTAAAAGCCTTGCAGCACGTTGCTGCCTCTCAGCACCACCAGCGCCGTGGCAATAAAGCTGCTGAGCAACAGGCAGAGCCCGAGCACACGCTGCAGAGCAGGGGGCTGGAAGTGGGTGAGCTTTAAGGTCCCTTTGCACCCAAACCAGACTGGGACGCTGGGGTGCCTTGTGCTCCCCCCAGCCCTCCCAGGCAGCCCCACGGGGAGCTTTGGGCTGACCCATGTGGAAGGCTTTGGTGGACATCTGGGCTCCGTTGCCATAGGAGGCTGAGGCAGGGATGCCCACCAGCACACCCGCCCCCCGAGGCGCTTCCCAGAGCTTCCACCAAGGATGTTCTGGATGGGGATGGCTGGGACCATGCACAGGGCAAGTTACTGCTTCCCCCTGCTCAAATCCATGGGCATAAAGAGACCTCAGAGCAGCTCCAGGGCCGAAAGGGGCTCCAGAAAACCTGGAGAGGGGCTTTGGACAAGGGATGGAGGGACAGGACAAGGGGAATGGCTTGAACCTGCCAGAGGGGAGACTGAGATGAGCTCTGAGGCAGAAACTCTTCCCTGTGAGGGTGCTGAGGCGCTGGCACAGGGTGCCCAGAGAAGCTGTGGCTGCCCCATCCCTGGCAGTGTTCAAGGCCAGGTTGGACACAGGGGCTTGGAGCAACCTGCTCTAGTGGAAGGTGTCCCTGCCCGTGGCAGGGGTTGGAGCTGGAGGAGCTTTAAGGTCCCTTCGTCCCAAACCATTCCATGACGTGAATAAATCCATTTTGAGGAAACATGGGCCCCGTGTCCTTCTGCCCCTGTTTGGGCTGTGTCCTGTGGCTCCTGCTCACACCCTGTGTGCACCCCGTGCTGTTGCAGGGCAGGCTGACGGATGGGAAGGGGAAGACCATTGACTGCAAAGATGCCATCTTCATCATGACCTCCAACGTGGCCAGCGAGGAGATCGCCCAGCACGCCCTGCAGCTGCGGCAGGAGGCCCTGGAGATGAGCAAGAAGAGGATTGCAGAAAACCTGGGTATGGGTCTGCAATGCCGCTGAGAGCCCCACACCCCATCCCCAGCACTCCCCTCCTGTGGTACCACACTTCATGCTTGTCTTCTTCTGAAGCCCTCATGTGAGATCACATCTTTGGTGATGGCTTTGTCCCACCTCACAGCCTTCCTCATCCTCTGCTCTCTGCCTTCAGCCCCTCACCCTTCAGCTCCTCACCCTTCAGCTCCTCACCCTTTCCATTCTTTCAGAACCCTTCCAAACACTTCCTAGACCAGACTAGTGCTGGGAACAGTGCTCATGTTAAAGAGGAAGAACTTTGCTTCCTCACTTCCATGAAGGACTGAGCTTCATCATGTCACTTCCCCTGGGATGGGAATCCTGGATCTCCACATCAGGGTCCTGTAGAAACTTCCCCAGAAATGTGAATTAGGAAGTTAAAGGAGAACTAAGTAGAGTAAGAGCAGCCTCTGATGTCAACTGAGCACCTCTGGTGAAGCAGCAGAGTTCACATTTACCTGCATCCCTCCACCACCTCCATCAGCAGGTTGGTGATGGACCAGCCTCAGCAGCACCAGGAGGCCCCAGAGACTCGTGGTCTCTGTTGTGCCAAGGATGGATGGATGGGTGGAAGGATGGGTGGATGGTGATGCTGCACCAAGGGCTGTCCCCTGTAGCTCTAAATTGCACAGCAGGGTGTGAGCACAGACCTTTTAAGACCCTTTTATGGCCTTAAATGTGTGGACACCACATCTTCAACAGGGCATCTAGGAGCATGTTGGGTGATGAGAACCTCGCCATGACCCGGCTGTGTTCAGAGGAGGCTCCAAGGAGACCTTAGAGCAGCTCCAGGGCCTAAAGGGGCTCCAGGAAACCTGGAGAGGGGCTTTGGGCAAGGGATGGAGGGACAGGACAAGGGGAATGGCTTGAACCTGCCAGAGGGGAGACTGAGGTGAGCTCTGAGGCAGAAGCTCTTCCCTGTGAGGGTGCTGAGGCGCTGGCACAGGGTGCCCAGAGAAGCTGTGGCTGCCCCATCCCTGGCAGTGTTCAAGGGCAGGTTGGACACAGGGGCTTGGAGCAACCTGCTCTAGTGGAAGGTGTCCCTGCCCGGGGCAGGGGTTGGGACTGAAGGAGGTTTAAGCTCCCTTCAACCCGAACCATTCAATGTGCCATCAGGGCTGCCCCAGATTCCCTAGAGCTCGGTCTCCAGAGCGCTGCTCACCACTGGAAGTGCTGGAGAAGCTGGGATGTGCCTGGGAACTGCGGCATCTGCATCAGCTCCCTGGGAGCAGGAAACACGGTGCTTTGGGGCATCAAATCCATTTCCCAGCTCCTTTCTCACTGTCTCTTCCTCTTTGCTCTGAGCAGTGGGTGCCAGAGCTGGTTTCATGCAGCATCTTTAAACTTCAATCAGCCGCGGGCGAGGACGACGCGCCTGGACCTGAACTTTCAGGAATAACATTTAGAAATGCCACGAGGTCTTCTGCTAAATGAGGCAAACATCGAATTTCCATTGCCAGCAGCAGCCAGCACACACCTGCAGAGATGGGGCCGGGCTGGGAAACATCCCAGCTCCAAATCCTGCCCTCACTCCAGTTTCAGGGAGCTCCTTCCCGTGTGTGGAGTCCTTGGCTTGGAGATGCTCCAGGGCCCTGGCCTGGAGATTGTCCTCAGTGCCTGGGGGCAGAGAAATGGAGAGATAAAGGGAAGGAGCTGCTGCTGCAGCGACTCCAGCTCTGCC